GAATAATTTAAAAGCAGGGAAAAGGGTAGAAATTATCCTAACCTGGAGGCAAGGCGCTAGGCGGGGAGACTTCCTCTTCATCTGAAACAAGAAATAGGAGTAAAAAGTCAAGGAGTAAAGGACTTCATCCCAAGTAACCTGAGAAAAGAGAAATCTGAAAAAGAAGAGGAGAAACCACACAATACACTTTCAACTGCTGAGCAAGCCTGAGAAGACTTGGTACCTGAAAAGTTAAACCTGAGTATTTCAGGCAAAGAAAGAAAAATAAATAAATAAAAAGTTGAGAGAGTAATGTAATCCAAATGGAAGCGTAGATTTAAAAATGGAACACTGCAAGTGTTTTATGTGACTGTAGGTCAGGAAAAAATGAATGCTAAAAATCAAACCTTGATGAAATCAATAATGGAGGTGGTTTTCAAGTCCTGATTTTGTAACTGTGAATGACGGTGAATGACAGACATTATTCATATATCACATTCATTTGGACACAGACATAAAAGCCAATATATGTACTGTCTGAGAACTCATTTCCACCCAGAAAACCTCGTGATTAATTGCTCTTCAGTGTCTAAGAAACAAAAGTCAAGATAAATTAATATAAACCAATTAACTTTATAAGCATTTTTTTCGACATAATATTGGTGTTGGACAATGCTGTATTATTAATATTTACCCATGTGCATTTGTGAAATTCAAAATATGTCTTTTAGTGTTTGTGTGCAGAATATTTCCCCTTTGGAAAACATCTGAACTTCAAAGTTCACGTTTGATTTATTTATTTTGGATAAACAAATTTATTTGTAAATTTAGTCAGCATACATAATTGACCTAAAAACTTCAGTAGAAGGATAAATTTTAAAACTGCTTGGAACACTATCTCTATAAAAGTGATTTTTACAGGACAGTAACCAGATGCAACCTAACCCAACACTGTCTTAATTGGCAAAAGTTCAGTGGACAGGAGCTTTGTGCTTTTCATAATACAAATGCCATAAGAAAAAGAACTTCAGCGTTAGTTCTTGTTTCCTGTTAGCAGAGGAGGAAAACTCAACCTAGTTATGAGATCAACCACGACACAATGAAAAGCTGTGCTAACTAAATAAGAATATGAGTAACAGATGATGCTGGTTTGAATAACTTGTATTTTATGCTACAGCCCTATCTCCCCAGTTAGTGTTTGTATTCTCAGCTAGAGAGTTAGTTCATATGTGGTAGAATGAGGACTTATGCAAGGTATAAATGTGCATAGCATTTTACCACTATGAAAACAAGTGCAGTCCAGTTAGAATAAAACCAGCTGGACTCTAAATTACACACACCTTAATGATAAGACTCCCCATCATTTGTGAATGTAAAACATTTAATTTTAAAATGTTAACACTGCAATATATAAAACAGCTATTATAAATGCACACAGTATATTCTATAGTGCCAGGTTTACTTTTTTTAAATTTTTAAAATTTTTTTATGGAAACTATAAGTTACCTTATAGTTAAGGTAAGACTTAACTATAAGGTAGTTAAGACTTGTATCTTCATCCTTGAAAAAGGCCACATTCTATCACAGTGATGTATGGTCAGACTTAACAACCCCAAATGTTAAACACCTGGATCAAGTCATAACCAGCTTTATTGCAAAGGACCCTGTACACATTTATCAGTTCTAGTACCTTAATAATTACCCAACAAGTCATTAACATACAGAAACATTCATCATGAGAAGCAAGAAATACCACCCATCCCGTCTGCATTTTAGCAACTTGTTACTCCTGAGCAGCAGTGCTCACATCACTGAGGTCTGTGAACAGTCAAAGTTCACATTTTACATCCTTAAAGAGGCATTTGGTGTTATCTGAACCTCTTCTCTGCCCTTCCCAAAGCATAAACTAGTGTTTTTATAAATAATAAAATCTTTATACTTAAAATAGAATATTTGTGAATTTACAGCCTGGGCAAAATAACAAGACTCTCTCTGTAAAATAATAATAATTATAATCTTTTAAATTAGCCAGGCTTGGTGGTGTGTGCCTGTAGTCTCAACCACTTGGGAAGCTGAGGCCAAAGGGTTACTTGAGTCAAGGAGTTGGAGGCTGCAGTGAGCCATGATCATGCCACTGTACTCCAGCCTCGATGACACAATAAGACCCTGACTCTAAAAAGAAAAACAAAAGCAAACTAGAATGTGGATTTCAAAATGTAAATGTATTTGACTGTACAAAATAGGATACACAAAACACATGCACAGGAATGTTAAAAAGTGCTTTAAAGAAAAACTGACAAAAATGTAAAATAGTACATTTAAGTATAATCTGTTAGAATATTTACTACAAGTATTACCTACTGGCCTGAAATGTTTTGTCCCAAATTGTCAAACAGAGACATGGTTTTTTTTTCTTTCTTTTTTTTTTTGTAAGACAGAGTTGTGCCCTGTCACCCAGGCTAGAGTACAGTGGTGTGATCTCAGCTCACTGCAACCTCCGCCTCCCGGGTTCAAGCGATTCTCCTGCCTTAGCCTCCCAAGTAGCTGGGATTGCAGGCACCCGCCACTGCACCTGGCTAATTTTTGTATTTTTAGTAGAGATGGGGTTTCACCATCTTTGCCAGGCTGGTCTCGAACTCCTGACCTTGTGATCCATCCACCTTAGCCTCCCAAAGTGCTGGGATTACAGGCGTGAGCCACAGCGCCTGGCCCAGGGATACGTTTTATTACTTTTAAATAAAATAACTGTTATATATTTATAATATATTAATATAATATATTAATATCATTACTTCAGAATCCAATTGGTGATTCCCTGGGTAATGTGGGATTTTAGATTCTTAACAGGAAGCTCTCTGTGGTCAAAAAGGCTTGAAAAATGTTAGGCTGGAGTTAAATGCTTGTATATTACTGTTTTGTGTTCATGTTTACTGCAGGACATCTGAAAGCTCTGAATGTGCAAATAATATGTTCTGGAAATGGGGGTGATAAGAAATGATATGGTCATTAGCACCTCCAAAACTTAGTTCACTTTGAATTTTTTTCTTCTGAAATAATGTAGATATATTCACATTCCACAAAATTGTGCATTTGCGCAGCATAGGTATTTCTGAGCTATTAAAGAATTCTGTATTTCAGAAGACTGTGAAATATTTAAAATTTTACATTATCAAAAATAAAATACGTTGTAATTTTCCTATATTATTATTTGCCATAAGTTTAATTCAGTATTTAGTACTTTATTCTTGTCACCTATTCAAAGGCTTTTACTTACTGAAGTATATAAGAATCTTGATTTAAAGTCCTGTAAGAATTAACAGAAATGAAGTTAAAATTCAATCATATCCTCGAAAGGAGCTTTCTTTATTATATGTAAACTATAAGCTTGAAACATTTTGGGTCGAATGAACACTTTACAAAGGTTTTGTGGTGGTTTACTTTTTGTTCGTGCGCAGAGCATAATGAAACCTTGAGTCAATGATCTAGAACACAAAATGACTGAGAAGAGTATTCACATACTTCTGAAAGTATGAAACTAAAGTGAAGGAAATTTGTCTTTTTTTTTTTAGTTCTGTTTTTAATTTTTTAAATTATTCTTATACTTTAAGTTCTGGGGTACATGTGTGGAACGGGCAGGTTTGTTATTTAGGTATGCATATGCCGTGGTGCTTGGCTGCATCCATCAGCCCATCATCTACATTAGGCATTTCTCCTAATGCCAATCTTGTTTTTAAAAAATTGATTGATACATAGTAATATTTGTATATATTTATGAGGTACATGTGATGGTTCATTACATGCATAGAATATGTAATAATGGCACTCTGGGTTTTTTTGTTTGTTTTTTTTTAGACAGAGTCTCAATCTATTGCCCAGGCTGTAGTGCAGTGGTGCAATCTCACCTCACTGAAACCTCTACCTCCCAGGTTCAAGCAATTTTCGTGTCTCAGCCTCCTGAGTAGCTGGGACTATGGACATGTGCAACCACACCTGGCTAATTTTTGTATTTTTCGTAGAAATAGAGTTTCACCATATTGGCCAGGTTGGTCTCAAACTCCTGAGCTCAAGCAATCCTCCTGCCTCAGCTTCCCAAAGCTGGGATTATAGGCTTGAGAAGGTACCACGCCCAGCCAGCAATGTTTTTTCAGCAAAAATTTGAAAGGTGAGTAGTTTTAAAGTCTACTAAATGTTAAGACTATTTGGAAGACATGCACAATCATTTTAGACTACAAAGGAACACATATTAATGCAGTGTTTCACAGTATCATGAAAGTCTTCCTCTAGATCACCCAGCAGTAATTGCAAAGAGCAATGACTTTTCAGTTGGCAAGCTTTGACTTATTGCACATAAATTTTTGAATTTGAGAAAGTGCTAGAAAACATAACATGAGCAAAGTTTACTGTTTCCTTTCTTTTATTTTTATTAATTAATTACTTCTTTTTTAGATGGAGTCTAGCTCTGTCGCCCAGGCTGGAGTGCAGTGGCGCCATCTTGGCTCACTGCAACCTCTGCCTCCCAGGTTCAAGCAATTCTGCCTCAGTCTCCCAAGTAGCTGGAAATACAGGTGCTTGCCACCACGCTCGGCTAATTTTTGTATTTTTAGTAGAGATGGTGTTTCACCGTGTTGGCCAAGCTGGTCTCAAACTCCTGAGCTCAAGTGATCTGCCCGCCTCTGCCTTCCCCAAATGCTGGGATTACAGGCATGAGCCATTTCGCCTAGTCAGTTTCCTTTCTTTTAAAAGTTGCTTCGGTCCTGGCACTTTTTTTCAGATTAGGAAATGTAGTTAAGATGTTGGGATTCTGACCTTAAATTCTCAAAAAATTGCCTTGTTGGATTTGGTTGAGTTCGATGAGACCGAAATGTTTAGTTGTTCTTATTTGCCGTAGAAACTAGGTTCTATTGCTAGGAGGCAAATGAAATATCCAGATCTTTCTGGTTGTGTCCAGTTCAACAATATATATATGAAAGACATAGCATCTTACAAACAACATTTTCAAACAAAACAAAAAATATAATATGTAAGTCATATTTCATTGTTTTTCTATTTAAAAGTGGTGATGATGAATACATAAACATCAGATTTTGACTTTTTGGAATATGATATACAGGGAAACCACAGACTCAGAGCAGCAGGGCTATCTCCCCTAGCTACCTAGAAGAGCAATTTACCAAAGCAGAATTTTATTCATCTGTAAGTCATGGGAAAATAGCATTTGTAAGACCATAAAAATGATTATTTAAACAACTGAAGTTCCCAGAGAAGAACTCCTAGAAAGTAGAGAAAGAACCCAGTCTTATATTACAAGCCTGGGATTTTAAGGGAGTATACATAAATACTTCAGAATGAGAGTGACAGACTTGTAACTGAATAAAAAGCTCCAGAGATAGTAGAATGTGTAAATTCTTGTAATTATCCAAACTCTCTTGAGCATAAAATAACTCCTACCTATGGCTGATTTTAAATTGCCTTTTAAAATTATTTAAGCAATATGAACTGGAGACAATTGTTGAGATTTAAGAATAAAGATCAAAAGCTTATAAAATTCAAATATATGTGACTTGTAAAGAAACAGTTAAATGCTGATACAATACCTTGTTTGATTGAGAGAAATTCACGAATTCCTCAAGCAGAGTAATCAGTTGTAGTACATACTGGTGTTTGTGACCAAAATAACAACAGCAATAAAATATGGGAGACAATAACAATAGCTAACATTAATTCATTATGTTTTGAGGCATTCGGTTAATTCATTGCATTTCCTTAATGAGATGATACATGCCTGCACACTTTGATGCTTAGAAAATCATGATTTATCCTACAATAAATAGGTACATTTAATGAATTTTTCTTCCCAAAATCTATTAAATCAATCTTGCCTCATAGTGGCTGTGTCTTCGAATTGAAAAGTGTGGTGATACTAGTTTTTAACAAAGTTCATTACAAAGAAGTGATGTAATTAGAATATATAGATCAAGCCTGGAGAAATTTTAGTAGATGGCTGATTGTATGACACCTAAAGGTAAATTGTACAAAAATATTTTAGCATGCTAGTAAAAAGCGCCAGGGTAATATTATTGCAGATGTGAAAGAACCTAAATTTTTTAAAAAACATTCTTTTAACTTAAAATCACATCATTCAGGAGAAAGTGTGTTGGAGCTGCTGCTGATTCACTTCCTCATCTGCCAATCACATTCATACAAAAGGAAGACTTCATCTCAGGTTATGTGAGATATTTAATACACATAGGGTTCATTCACGATAGTTTATATGGTGAATGCCTGGGAAAAGAAAATAAGTTTTTATTTACTTTTTAGTGATTACCAAAAGCAGTAATAAAAAAGTCAGTACCTTTACCAACTGAGCTTACAAAAAAAAAAAAAAGATATAGACTCTAAGCTAATACAATGTAAAAAATATATATATCAGTACTTAGGCATGGAAATGAGTACTGGTCTTTAAAGTGGTCTCTGTTTCTAATGTTGCTGTCACTTTTGAGACCAGCCACAGAACCAGTTTCGGAGCTTTCCATGGGGCTAGCTGTTGAGGCACGGCAGAAACCGACTCTAATTACCCTATGTTCAGACATAGGATGTTGGATCTTAGTTGATGGAAAAAAAAGTATGATCCCACTTGATCACCCACGTTATTCTCTACACATGGCCCTCTGTGACTCCTGTCTGCTTCCAAAACTGAAATCCGCCTTCCTCTGTTGATGGTTGTTCTTCCCCCTAAAGTGTAACTTGGCTCCAGGAGGACCGAGTGCCCAGATCTGTGCCTGGCATGTAACCAACACTCAGCAAATCTTGCTGAATAAATATGTGCTACAATAAAAGGTGGATCTTTGACCCCACTGAACATACAGAAAAGAACCTATACTTAGCATTCCATTGATTTGCTACCTGTAATTATTGTGAAAGAATTCTAAGCCAGAGCAGCATTATTTTTATAAGGGCATTGCCTCCTAGTATGATAACCCTGAAGGGGATTTGCACATCTAATTTCTGCTATTGCTGTTTGGCTAAACACATTTCTTTATTGTCATCTCTCTTGTTTCAGTTTCAGGAGACTTTGCCCAGGTCCCAGGACAAAGTGGTCAGTATTAAGGAACAGGATAGCTGGATACATAGCCACATGCAAACAAGCAAGCAAGCAAACAAACAATAATAAAACCCTTTTCTGGGAAATAGGCTGCTTTCCAGACAGAGACTTTTAGTAAATCTGAAAAAGTCAGCAAATCTAACCACAAACACTACTTCTAAGATTAATATCAGAATCAAACAACTCTCTGTGGCTTCAAAAAACATTTTTCTAAGCTGTTGCAGAATGATTCAATAAATCTGGGAATGATGTTAAGTCTGTATTGCAACGAATAATATTCCTAATAGTGACAGATTTGGAGCAATTAATTGAATATATGTCAACTAATTAAATAGAAGACCAGTTAAAGTGCTGAAAATGTACTAAAATCCAGGCATGACCATTTTCAGTAGCTTTAGGCAAGTTGGTCTTACAATGGAAATCATCCATCTGTTCTGCAGCAGTGCCTCATTCCAGACCCTCAGTGACTAAGAATGTACATAGGATGTTCATCCTACCCAGCACACATGTTGAATGGAAAAAAAAAAAAAATCTATCCAGATTACCACTGAATGGTCACCAGGTAAGCCATTCGACTGCTCATTCATTTTGCAAGTATTTATTAGGTGATTACTATGTGCAGCTCTCTGCCAGATGCTGGAGGGAATAAGATAAGGGGGCCAATGTCAAGAAGCTTACAACCTGTTAGGGAAAGGAGTCAACCATTAATGTATGATTACATGGAGACACGAATGATTAAATGAAGGAGGCAATAGGTCCAAGAAAAATCAGGAGAAAGAAGAGGAGTTAAAAGTGAGCCAGGATGGTCAGGGGAAAGCTGTACAAAGGAGTGAAACCTGAATTGAATGATTAAAAAAAATTAGATACACTGGCAGCTGGAGGAGGAAGGGAGAGCAGGGGAGTTCTCGTTCATGCTGGAAAAAAAGCAGGTTGCACCCATCAATCCTGTTTATGCCTGTGCAGGGCTCCTTTCTCAACCAGGAATAGACATGTAGAAGTAATTATTATGTCTACTTTTTGCTTAAGTATTTTATTTGCAATTTCTCTGTCCTTGATGAAAGTGGGTAATAGTTGAAGAGGACTGTATATTTATAATAAACTTCCATCCATTTACCTTCTTTATTTAGGGATGTGACTTTCTATCCTGAATTGATTTGCTTCCTAGGCATGTAAGACGAATACATACATATACAGGTATTTGCCTATATATGTACATACACACACACACACACGTGGCAGTTTATGTACCTGGTCATGTGACTGCATGTGATCATGGTCTTGCTTGTCTTCTGCAAATGTCAGAAAAATGCTACTAATTTCAAAATGCCCGTGTCATCTAGCCTTGCTCTTTCATGCTGTATTCTCCATAAATAAAAGAGTTTTTATTGGTTGGTTGGTTGGCTTTAAGGAAAGGCATTTTCTCATTTAAACATACAAGTATAATATGGTGACTTTTCAGATTAAGGGTCAGGCACCGACTTTGTTTAAACTTTGACAGCTTGCCCTCTGGGATTACATCATTTGCTCTGTTTGTTGAGCCTTGCAGCCTGGCCCAAACAACTTTCCAAATTTAGAAACAGAGGTGTATGCCATGGCTTTGTAGAGAATAATGTTACAATAATTTCAGCCAGGATGTCCAAACCTCCTTGAAACCATCCCATGGAAGGAGTTCTAGGAGGTTGCACTGTCTGCATTCCATAAGTAAATAACCTTCAAACTGTGGCCCACGTGGCCAGGATTAGTATTCATGTTACTCTCCATGGGAGCCACTGAAGGTCAAGGACAGAGTATACTAACATTATGCATTCATTATGAGAGCATAGTTAGCTGAAGAAAAGTAATCCAATGTACTGCAAGAAAGAAAAAAAGTATTTTACTAATGTATAGGAGACAAGAATATCATAGAAATTAGATAATGAAATATGATAAATATGATACAGCAAGAACAGAGAGATACTTAACATGCTTTTGAGCAGTGTCCAGGAAAAAGAGAAACTTCTTGTTGCAGTCAGAAAATAATGATTCCAAAATTTAGACTTTGTTATTCATTATGCAAATAAAAGATTTACTTTTAAAATGGCAGTACAAACATATAAGGCAAAACTGTCTAATCCACCTTCATGAAAACTTCCCCCTGTAGAAGACTAATGCTCCTTAGATTAAGACAGATGAGAAATGATAATCATTTCCTCCATGGTGAGACAAAGGAATTAGTATTTCATGGAGTAACAGAAGCATATGAGCAAGATTGTTTTCTAAAATGAGACTATCTCCATATAAAGTAAAAACAAGATAATATTACAGGAATAAATTAGTTTCCAATTCAAGAAGGAGCAACATAACGTTTGCTTAATGTTATACTGTGAATCTGTGTAAATCATTACACAAATCTACACGAATACATAGTCAGTGTTACAAAGTGAGATGCTAACCTTTAAAATTACTAGTGAAACCTGGAACAGTTCACGCAATAACATGAAAACATTCCATTTAAATAAAAATCTAGTTAATTCAGATAATTTTCCCAATTAATATACTCCCAAGAAGACAACAAACACGTCTTTTTCTTAGCATGCACATTGAAACTTGGAAACTACCAATTAGTTTTCTGGCATCTCAACAAGTGCTTGTGATATTTTTATCATTGTTGTTTTTCTTTTAGAAATACATGTAATGGAAACTTAGCAACACACCATTTGTCATTATACTGGTCTTGCAGATAAGATGCAAAGGCGGAACTCTAAACCACATTGATGAAAGATATTCTATGGGGCCACCATGGCATCATTACTGACCTCTTTCTGCTTCTAATTTTGTTGAATTCAGCCTCATTCTCCCTCCCTCCAACTCACCTTTTGCTGGTGTAGTTCCGGCCTCCTTCTCTTTACTTGGTTCTGTGTAGAAAGTACAAGCATATTTTTTAAAAGTGTCTTAAAGCATTTTATTGTGTGATGAGCAATGAGGTGGAGAGGGGGATGGAAGGAATAAACAACAACAGAACAGGTCATAAATGATACTGAATACTCGTGCTCTACATGAATTATAAGTTTAGAAATTATAATTTAGAGTCACACTAAACTTTTAGTGAAAAACAATCTGATCATTTTCGGAAAAGCACACATAAGAACACTCAATACAGATTTTGTTAAAATGCACCCCGCTATGCTTGGATCATGTTATATAACATGCGGGAGTAGAATTGAGCAAAAAAATGTGAGCCACTTTATTTTAGACCTCAACAAGGGACTGACTTTTCAAAGAAAAGTCAGTTTGCCCCACGTAATGATTCTAAATATGTAATTGTGTGCAGTATACGTTGTTTCAAATAAAACGTTTCAGTGTCCATGTGAATCTTCTGGATTGGGTTTAGTGGCAATAAATGCAAAACAAGAGGAGTAACATCAGATTCTATCAGTTGAGACCATCTAGTTTGCATTTCTCTGTGTTTGGAATCGTATTTAGATCTGCAAATGGTATCTGACTTGTGGTATATGTAAGAAAAGAATTGTTTCAAGAATGAATTCTCTTTTTTTGGACTGATAAATAGAGATTCGAATCTCAGTTAACTAAAAAGGACAATTTTAGCAGAGTTTGGGAGGAGACATTTGAGAAAGAGGAAGTCAATATTGTGCAATGAATATGAAATATGGCATAAAAAGGAAACAATAGAGGGTCAGTGGCAGCAACTAATCTGAAAAACAGAAGGGAAAGTTCTGCTTGTAATGGCCAGTAGTAGGTTCTCAGTGTGCTCAACGCTGGTCAAAGTAAATTTGTTACAGGCCAACAGAAAACATACCAAAGAAGAGGAAGATCCTAAGAAGAATGTCAAACATCTACACTAGTTTCAAGATCAACATCTAAAGGAAATAAATCTGAGCTTGCTCCTGTTTGAACTCACATGGCTCTGAGCCAGTTTTGTTCGTTTTGGCACGTAGTAATAGTTTTCTATACGCTTTAGGGTTTGAGTGTGTGACATATTCTTAGCTAGACAAAGGGCCTCTTGTGAGCAGATAGATTTCTCAAACTGCCCTCCTGAAAAACACTCTCTGCTTGAGCCCAGGAGTTTGAGGCTGTGGTGAGCTGTGATGGTGCCACTGCACTCCAGAGCAACACCCTGTCTCAAAAAAGAGAAAGAAAAGAAAAAAGAAAAGAAAGAAAAAAGAAAAAATGACTTCCAGGGAGGAAAGCTTTGTAATTGCCTCATCAGTTTTTGTGTGAAAAGATGATTGGAAACTGAGACCTTATCCAACTGCTTTCATCTAAGCTGGACCAGGTCTGCAGTGACCTGCTGGCTTCATATCGCATTGCCAGTTTAAGCAACCCACAAATAATCACATACTGCTTGGTGAGGGGGTGGGGGATAGTGGTCTTATAATATTGCCTAATGTTTTAATGTTGTGGTTGCATTTTATTTAATTGTTCCCCAGGCTGTATTCTAGTTTCCACTTGGCTGCAAACAAACTTGAATACAGGAAAATGTTTTCTGTGTAGAGTTCCCCAGTACATCTGGTATAATATGCTTGCACCTAGCTATCAATATGTATATGGTAGGTATTTCTGAATCCTTCTGAAGGGTTAGGTCAGAATTGTGTACAGGGTAAATACCTAGTGAATAATTATAGAATGGATGACAGTTTCTCACCCTTTTCAAGGAGAAAGAGGGATGAGAAAGGCCACTTTGGAGTCTTTATAGGAAAATGCACATGATTTTGGTTGCTTCCTTCTTGGGGCTATTTGGCAGATAAATGACTCTGAAGAGACATGTTGGGAATTTAAGCTATGTTGAGCTTTCAGTCTTCCAATCTTCTTCTCTTCTTTAGGTATATGTAGACATAAAAGCAAGCTTCACATATTGTGTGTCACAGGGGACTGCCCTACCTGCCAAGGGTCTCACTGGATCTCTGTATTCATTTTCTGTTGCCCACTGGTGGACAATATGGTACTAAGAACTCAAGAAGTTGGTCCCATATTGAACCTCAGAGGCCACCAAACCTTTCTGGAAAGTCCCTAGGGAGCTTCTGGAGGTGCTCAATAATGACATATTTCAAATTGAGAAGGGACAGCAGATCATCCAGGGTAGAGATGGATCCACTCCCCACTCTCATAAAGAAGATGTGGGTTTGTTTGACCTTTATTATATGGGAAATAGCCTCACAAATTCTTCAGCCTTTTGGATGGAGGCTCAGCCTCCACACTGTAAAATGTGGACATAATAACTTCTACATAACTTAAAAGGTTTCATAAGATTTCTCCCCCTAATATATATGAAGTGCCATCCAAATTAGATTAACATAAGAGGATTGTATAAACACAATGTATTATTTTTGTTATTACCAACTTATCACAATGGTCACCATCCAGCTTCTCAGTAGAAGTTAGGTTAAAGCTCACAGCTCACAGCACCCCTGGAGGCCAAATCATGCTGGGATGGATGTTCTGTATTTGCAGCGCAAACATGTGTGAACCAGTGTTTTTACTCACCTTCTGGGGGCGGGGCTGGGGCTGGTACTTCATTTTCTAGAAATGGAAAGAATCATGGAAGCGTTAGGCTCATTTATCACGGAGAAGAACTGTTTTGCACAGCCCCATCTCACCTGTGTGTACTCACAAGAGGGATGGAACGGGAAAACACCTCTCTTTCTTTCACACACACACATACACACACACACACCCCGCTGCATCAAAAGGCCCAAGACACGCTGCTGTTTGTGCATGGTATTATATATAGATTTCCAGGAGGTGGCATGGTGTAGTGATGGAAAGATAAAGGTAGAATGGGGATCTGAGTGTCCTTGCCATTTAATTATCCCCTCCAGAGGCAGCCTGGGCGTTTAACTGTGCTGAGCCTGTTTTCCTGCCTCTAGAGAAATGGCTGCAACACCAATCATATATGGGCAGGACTACTGTTATGACGAAGTGAAACACAGTAGGCAGCAAGTATATGGTGAGCATATCCCACAGAGTCTAAGGTAAGGTCAGTGCAGAAATGAGACCCCTTTTCCCAGAAAGCAAGAGCACCCCTGCATCTCCAACACTGTTCAGCTGCGTGGGACACTTTCTGAACCAAGATGGCATCAAAGTCCTCTGGCTTTGCAGCACTTTGTTGTTGTTGTTTTACAAGGAAGGTGCAATTCACTGGGAAACAGAATTAGGCCTTCTCATAGTCATTTCTGGAAGCATATGTGTTTGGAGTAGATTCCCACCTACACTTACACAAAATTTTCCAAGCTCTAGTTTTGAGGTTTTGGTTTACCCGATTTTGGATGTCTGGTTATTACAGAACACTCTGGCAATAAAGTCTGACAAAGAAACTTCTGTTAAAGAATATACTATTTCCAAGTAGCTACAGGCATCCCCATGAACAAAGAGCATAGCATTTCCCCTGCCAAATCTCTGTGGATGCTCAGAACTGGGAATTAGTGACGTGAGTATCACCCACTCATGAACCAGCTGCTTCATCTCCAGGGCAAGAAGAGGCAGTTAATGAAGGTGATCACTTTTAAAATTATTTTCTACTTGATTACTAAATAAAATATAGAGCTAGCAAAGTTTTTGTATTATAGGGACATTGTGGAATCCTGGGAGCCTTTGTCAGTGTATGGGATTTCCACATTTTTTTTTCTACAAGTGACTCTTGTTGAGCAGCGAGAACGAGGCTCAAAATGAGCAGTTTGGTGGAACAGTCACCACTATGTGTAGGCCAACTGCCCCGTTCCAGTCAAGGGAGGCTGGAATGAGCATAGAAAAATGAATGGATTTCACCGTAACAGAAATCAAGAAAAGAGTAATGCAGGCCTGCCAGGATGCAATAATGTCTTTTTCCATCACTAATTTTGTGACTGGTATAAACTCCAATGTGTTTTTTAAAAACTTTTTAGCCCAGGTGCGGTGGCTCACGGCTGTAATCCCAGCACTCTGGGAAGCTGAGGTGGGCGGATCACAAGGTCAGGAGTTCGAGATCAGCCTGACCAACATGGTGAAACCCTGTCTGTACTAAAAATACAAAAATTAGCCGGATGTGGTGGCACGTGGCTGCAATCCCAGCTACTCAGGAGGCTGAGGCAGGAGAATTGCTTGAACCTGGGAGGCGGAGGTTGCAGTGAGCCGTGATCCAGCCACTGCAGTCCAGCCTGGGCAACAGAGTGAGACTCCATCTCAAAAACAAAACAAAACTAAGCTTTTTATTCAGATGGCCATAAATAAGTATATTACTATTTACTAGTGAGAGAGAAAATATATATATAACCAAGGGACAAAAAAAGTAACCTTATATAGATAGGCAGAAGAAAACATGGCAGGATGTGATATAATTTGCAGATACAGTGAAAACACAAATGTCCCTTGGATGGCATTGTCAGAAATGTTTTTGTTTCTTCACTACATCATGGAAAGAATCACCTGTGTAATCATCAACCAAAGCACAAAACTGTCAGTCAAAGCATTTTATTTTCAGAGATCTGAGTGCAGAAATGGAAATCCAGTATTGCCCTCTTGGCTTTGAATAAGTTGTTGCAGCACACAGATATCAGAATACTGAGAGCAAGACGCCAATTTCTTTGACACTCTATCTTTCAGACTGGGCCATTGCCATGCCCTGCCCGAGGACTTCTTCCTGGCTCTGACTACAGAAAAATTTCTCATCCCTCCAGTCTCCTTTCCTCACAGCTGCAGAGGTTATTTATCCTACAACTGTGTTTCATCCCATTATTCTACTTGAGAGGGTTTCTATTACGATTTGGTTAGGTCTACACTCCCCAGGTTTATATTCAAAGCCACTGTTGGTGGGCACTTCCTTCTCTCTCTTCTTTTAATACGTTCCAATGGCGCCTCTGTTCTAGAGCCGTTT